CAAAGGCATTAGGTACATAGTTTGCGTTCAAATATGATTAGAGTGTTCAATATGTATACTTCAACCATTTTGCAATTGCAGAAGACTGGTTACCATTGAATCGTTCATTCTCGCAGATTCGTCGAGAAATCTTATTCCCTTTCAGTTTAATACATTCGATAAACCATGAAAAAGAAAAATCCACGAAATTAAAGAACCACGTTAGGTGGTCGTGTTCGAAGAGAATAAACATAAGTACCTCTTGCGGTTTCTTCGTAACTTCGCGAAACAGTACGAAGTTGCACAAGGGTCGATTTCACGAGAACACGGAAATTTGTGCTTTCATATTTTTCCCTCTGTATAATCAGAGGAAGACCGCGGTTCGGTTTCGTTACGGGGATCGCCTTGTGTACATAGCTTTAGATTCGGATCCACTTGTAAACGATGTGGCCGAGACATAATTAAATAATAGAGTGCGTGTGAACGGGAGTGCGGGGGCTACGTGTGTGTAACCTTTCACTTCGTGTCTTGTGTCGTGGCTAAGGACGACGAAGAAAAAAAAATCTCAATCAAGCACTTTGTACAGGTTCTATACATACAACGTATATATATATGTATTTATACAGACACATGTATATATATATATATATACATATATATTTATATATACATATATACATATATATACATGACGAAGAAGAAAGAAAAAAAATGAAACACCCTTTTCCACACGATTTTGATTATAAATCGACTATATTATCGGTATATACATATAAATAATAGGTATATATGCACATATGTGTGTATACATAGACACACTCTCTTTTATATATTTTTGTGAAAACTCACGTATGTGTATATACGAATGTACATATATGTATACATACATTCATATACGTATACAGATATGTATGTATGCATGTATATCCGGCATGTATATGTGTGCATACATATATGTATATATACATATAAGGATGAATGGAAAAAATACTTAAGAGAAAATACACAGATACACTTATACACAGAATACGTTCTCTCTCTCTCTCTCTCTCTCTCTCTCTCTTGCCAGGTATAGCCGGCAAGGATCACCTGTGAGCACCTGGTGTACACGCAAAAAGATACAAAGAAAACAAACACAATCACAACGATACAGAAGACATATATACAGGCACACGTGGAAAGAGAATCATAATTATATGCTGAACGCGTAAAGGGACGGAAGGTCGGTTGCAAAAGGGTTGAAAGGGGGGAGGGGAGGGAGGGGGAAACGAATCGCGTATGGGCCGAACGACAATACACGGAACTGTGGGAAGTGCAAACGAGAGAACAGTAGAAATAAAAAAAACCATCGGAGGAAGATGTGGGAAAGGACGTGCGACAACGCAAGAATACACACGATACCACATCGAGGACCCTCGTCGATCCCCGCGCGCTCGATCGTCGTGGCATGTGTGTGTATGTGTGTGTGTGTGTGTGTTCGGTCCAGGGCTCTAGAATCGAGACGAGCCTCGCAGATGCGGAATATGGGAACGAAGCGAATTTACCCGCGTGAGAACAAGAGAAATTAAACACAAAAAAGTAGCTGTGGTAGACGCTGCCGTGTATCGCGATTACCGAATCGTCGCCGCCGCCGCCGCCGTCATCGCCGCCGCCGCCGCCGCCGTCGTCGTTGCTGCTGTATGCAATATTCATGTGCACTAATTCACTGCCACTGCAGTTCGTGTTTTATCGTTGTATATAAAAAAAAAACTTTCTATGTACGGGCTCGATTTAAGGCGAGAAGGGCTCCTGTCACGTGGAAAATTGAGCAGAAAAGGCGCGCGCAGCGTCAGCCGCACAAAAAACGCCCGCCATTCGTTACTCTCCTTGGTCTCGTATCACTTTTTTTCGTTTCCTTTGGCGTATTCTCTCCTTGATTTTTTTTTCTTCTTCCCTGTGTCCTGTTCGGATCAGGTATGAAACCTTGAAAGATATCCTTTGTTCGTTGGTCGGCGATCCTCTAGAGTTGGATATGAACGGTCGATAACTACGCGTTCTCTCTTACCGACTGTGCTGAATGATGCGCATCGACCTGAAGCGACACGATTTTGCATGCGCTCTCGGTTTTATTTTAGCCTCGGGGGGGTTGAACGGAACGTTTGTAATGCGGTTTATGTGACTGTACACGTGTTTGCGAGTTTTATACAGACTGATTCTAATCGCGGTGACGTTCGATTATGAGAACGATACGGGACGTCGTGTGTCGTGTCGTGTCGCCTAGGGACTTAGAGATACTTTTCATACATTTCCGGAGTCCTTTTGATTACGCACCTATTTCGAAACGATTTTCCCTGTTTTGGTACGCTCGTTTTGAATTGTTAATCGATTAACGTGTATAAGCTTGTGTGTTTGTGTAGTATTGCTGGGTTTCCTTCGGACGGGAATCATTGGAAATTGGTCATTGAAATCATTTCAGTTGAACGAAACGGTACATCGAGATCTGTTTCCAGCGAGACGCGTTAGCGAATTGGAAATATTTGTTTGAAATGCTCGATTGACTAATTTCGAGGGTATTGTTTGTGGTACGTTGCATTTGCAGTGATTGTTTAAAATATTAATTCTTTTAATTATCATTTTTTGTAGGAAGTAGGTAAGAGTACGATGAAAAAAGAATTTTCCTTTATTTTGCGTTGACTAATGAGAAATGAGCATAGTGAAAAGACACGTCGTTTGGGACAGTAATAGCTGTGTGTATTTGTGCACATTCGCGTACGCAATATATGTGTATAGATATATTTACACATAACTAAATATTAAGTCAATTATGTTAGATTGTGTACAAATTCACGACAATTGAAAGTCGAGAAATGTTTTCACTTCTGATTAGGAAACCACACATTATTATTCGTTTCTCGGAAGCTTTTAGCTAATTATACATCGTGCTCATAGTTTTTACGTTAGATCTGCAGAGTCAAATAAATATTTCAAGTTTTGGTTTTTTTATTTACATGCACGTATGAATGAAATTCATTCGACGAACATACTTGCAAAAATATACATTTTTTTTCATTTCAAGTCTTTGTCCAGTACTGCTACTACGACAGCGTTTGAATTATCGAAGCAAAGTCGCGCTAGGGATTCAGAGAATGAAATGTTGTCGAATGTAAAGAGTAGCGAAACAAAAATTGTCCGAAAGCAGAGCATAAGCGACAATGGAAATAGAGAATCATTATTGTTCAGAAAGCGTTCGTTACAAAATCCACGCGTATGACACTTCGTTGCGACGATCAGATTCTCTGTCTCCTTTTTCCGTTAGCTGACGATCCTTCTCACCTACATACGAGAAATCCTAATAACGAGGACGAAAAGAAAATTTTCGGAGATGGTGCACCGCCTACTTATTAACGTTCTTTGATCAAGAACTTGGAATTCGAAGAAAATGAAATTCGAAGACATTAAAATTTGAAGAAATTAAAACTCTAAGAAATTGGATATTGAAATCCACAAATTGGATTCTATTAAAACAGTATATATAAAGATAACGAGAAACCAAGCTTCGTCATGAAATTGAATTTCTTGAGGTACGATCGAGGCACCGTCAGTGTAACGAAATCTCGAAACCGTACATGACAGAGAAGCAAAAACGGAATCACGATTCGTCGTCGTGCTGTTTCGTTACCGTGGAAAGAAAAACAAAAGCCCTGTAAAACAGTTTTAATTCTCACCGTCGAACCTCTTTGCGAGAAATATAGCGGTTCATTTAGAATCCACGTGTGAAACAGGAAATAGAGGACTTCTCGCGACAACCCTGGCCCCCTCGCCTTGCTGCGAGATCACACATACGAAAGGAACCTTCGTGCGTTAAAATTTTCGGTGGAAGTGGTTCGTTAAGTGGCGAAAAATCCCAAAAAAATGAAAATTTGTCGGAGCCTTGTGTAGAAATACTAGATGATCGGGTCGAGATTTGCGTCGCGTGGGACACACACACGAGCCAGTCGATAGAATTTTACTTCGTAAAAAGAGCGTGAATGTTCCTATATGCCTTTGATATATCTCGCCCCCCCCCCCTCCATTATTGGCGTTTTTTTTTGTTATTTTTTCTGTACCTCCCCTGCCCCCTCCCACCGTAAACTGTAACAACCATAATATGTAGATGTGTTTACCGTGCTTGTTTTTTCGGATATTAGCGGAGAGAATCCAACAGCAACGATCGTTCTCCCCGGCACACACGGTCATTTGTGTTTTTCTTTCACTCTCTGGACGGGAAACTCGGTGCCTAGTCTCTGCCCGCGAGAATACAAATTTACTCATGCACACACACTGTTTAAATAATTAAATCATGCACCGTTTCGATCGATATCATCAACCGTGTAATCGTAATTTTCTGATGCGTCATACGCGCGAGCGCGAACACACGCGGCGCATTTTGTGTATGTGTATGTACGTATGTGTATGTGTGCGTGTGTGTATGTGGACAAGTGTGTGTATCTGAAAAAAAAAACGAAGTATATCTATTATACATATTAAAGATTAAACGATAAAGAAACCCACACAACAAAGAGAGAATAAAAAAGTGAAAAGCAAAGGAAACCGCGGAAAGAAAGAGAGAAAATAATCGAACGAGATACCGAAGATAATTCGAAATATATATATACATATACACACGTATATGTATATGGAGAATTATGAAAACTGTATAAAGAGACAAAAAAAAAAAGAAATAACAAAGAATTAAGGCGCGCTGAGCGTACGCCACCTTCGATGCCTCATTGACCTCATCTAATGCTTTTTTATCTGTACATTTACAATTTGTGTACCAATGAGGAACGTTGTTTAATCATGTTGTTGATGTTATTGTTAAAGAATGAGATTCAATATTGTACATAACTATATATTCATTATAATTGATGATATAAATAATTATATACATAAAAGTAAATACCAGAGCCCCCTTATGCCTCACACTTCAACGAGCGGATTCACGTCATTTTTTAATAAAAAAGAGGTACTTTATAAACATGTGGTGTTTGAGGAGGACGAGACTGGCAGCATGGAAACACGCGAGAGTACCTTTTACATGGTGAATACTCATTTTCTTCGATACGTTTCCTGGCATCTTCCATGCTGACAGAATAATCCATATCCTCATGATATTGAATTTGTTATTTTCGTTGCAATAATTACGGTGGTTACTGTAATTCACCTATTTAAATTCCCACTTTTCCATTAGGATGTATAAGTACGGGCAAGTATAAACAGTAACGTGCAACTTGCATGTATTTTCAATTCATTTTATTAGTAAAAGAAGTAGTTACGTAACAATAATTTAATAATTTTCCGAGTGCATTATTTTTATATTAATACTTGATTTACGTTGGACTTTTCCATTAAATAACTTCTATCGATTCGTATAACACGGTAATCGATAATGACTTCGCTAAAAATTAAACAAGTTTAACTATAGATATACTTAGACTGGTTCAATAGTAATGAAAGTACACATATATTTTTTAATTTTCTTATTAAGTTAATAACAATTTGCAATAGTTTTCACGATTATAGTGTCTAGAATTCCTGTTAAGATTAGACTAGGATGGCGTCTAAACACTTAGTGCCGAGGACCCTTCGACCACTCATCGAGGATTTACTGTATTGACTCGATTCGTTGGTGTAAGGTAAAGTTTTCCAGTGGGAACGGTATAAATCATTGTGTTGCTAATCTTACTGACTTGATTCTTCGTATGTACCTGGGACTAATTGGGACTACCTCTCGCTGTGCTCATCGCTCACTTTCCAAGTCAGCGATTCGGGGTTTGGTGAATCTGGAGGCTACACTGAAATAAGACCTAATATCCGTTGTACCGATTCGATCCGATCGCTTGATCCTCTTTATCCAGCCACGTGATCGTGTAATTCTAGAAGTGCTTCCATCACCCTGTCTTCGTATTCGGGCACGGATCTCAGCTGCTCGCAGATCAACGGTGTTCTATCTGCGTATAGAATGCTCTCCAATAACTCAGGTTCTTCGTAAAAATATTTGCTGGCTGCCTTCGGTTCTAATAACATGATTGGGATATTCAAGACGCCATGTGTGATGCACATGACGCGTAGATCCTCGATGGATTCAATAAACTCGTTCCATGGAAATATGTTCGCGATGTCCAGCTTAGCTTCTTGCAGGGCTTCTGCCATTGTTTCGTGATACACTCTGAATAGATCCTCGCTGTGCTCTTCCCGGAGTTTTCGCGTTGTCGTGAATTGGAGGAAACAGAGGATGTCGTGTGCAGGGGGATTGTATCTGCAACAAATGATTTGTTTAGTTTATGGTGTTCTGTTTTTTTTTGCGACTTCTTTTTTTTATTTACTTGGAATTCATTGGTGTAAACGGCTCCCACAAACCAACGTTTTTTTATATATAAATTTTTGCGGAAATTTTTTGTATTGGTGTGAGCAGTTTCATAAGACGCTATGTATTTTATATTGTTGCCAATATTTCGCGTTGGTTTGTGGGAGCCTTAATTGTTTTCTTCTTGAAGAGGTGGATGGTTAACACTAGAACTACCAAAGCAGTCAAAATTACTAGTTAGTACATTATTATAACGATCATTAAGATGTAGCAATGTATTTTCTCAGACTTTTTCCAACTTTTATTCTACTATGAAACTGAAGAAATTAGTTGATTTATAAATTTCTATATTATCAAAAAATTGTCATGTTTATTAAACCGACAGAAATCGACATAAGATAAGGTCTTTTTGAATGTTGTGCAACTTTGATCATAAACGGTTTAATGTGACAGCTGCTTTTTGCGCGGATTTAACCACAATTCAATAATAAGTTAATTAATGTTTCATTACCGCATGTATTAAGTTGATGTTATATTCAACCACTGACTGTAAGTTGGGTGTTTGGGGTTATATGATCCCTGCCTAGTAGGATAAAATGATCCCAGGAATCATTTTACCCATATGCTATGTTATTCTTTTTTGTTTTAGTTACAACAATGCCCCGTCGGTATGAAAGAAAAACAACGCTTCAAAGCTGTTTTTATTTAAATAAAATGTAATAACTGAAATGCTTTTTAAGGTATAAAATAATCCTTGAGTATGCCTTGAAAGAAATGTGAATAAAAAATATAATTGATCACTTAGCTAAATTTTCCAAAAACTACTATACTTTTATTTAAATAATCAGCATTTGTATGTTTTATATAAATTACGCCTTAAAGGGATCGTTTTAGACACCTTTCGCCTACTAGTTCGAAAACTTCATGATTTCGTTCGACCTCCCCCTCTCTCACCTGGCAAGTTGAAAATCGATCAGGCAGCATTCCAGGGGCTTCCCGTCGTCGTCGTACTTGAACAAAATGTTGTTTGCCCACAGATCCCCGTGGCATAGCACGTTCTTGTGTCTGGTGGACGGGGACAATTTCACCGCGTGATCCGCACACAAATCGATCACTTTCGCTCGGAACGATCTCCGTTTATCCACGGACAACTCGGGCATCAGGTCGATCACCGACACGGTGCCCTTTACAGCAGCGTCGAACATCGCTTTTGCGCGGCCGTCCTTAAGTGGCCATAGGGTTTCTTGCATGCAATGCGAGAACTCGTCGTGCAGGTTCTTCTGGCAGACTTCCTCGAATATCAGAGACTTGGCATGAAATCTGGCCAACGTTCTCATCAGGATCTTGCAGTGTTCGTAGTCGAAAGGTTTCCGTTTGTCAGTCATTTCATAACCGCTATGGGCCATGTCCTCCAACACGATCACGTCGTTCTCCAGACCGAGGAAGCATTCTGGGATACATCGATTATCCAAACCGTCCAACACTTCTGGAAAGACAGTGGTGTAAAGTGCCACCTCCTTCTTGAACGTACCATATTCTTGAATGAAATCGTATTGGGGGCTGGTCGATGGTGGCGGTAGTTTCGTGAAGAAATTAATTTTCTTGGTCTCCAATGGCGACTGGGGACTGGCCACGGTAGCTTTCAGAGTGAAGTACTGGCCCATGAAACCGTTCACCTCGTCTATAGGCACCACTTCGTAGGTGATCAACGAGAAATCCTCCATCGAGTCTTTGTGCAGCTTCTTGCGGATTATCTCGAAACATTGCTCGTCTTTGAGAATTTCTTCTGTGCTGGGATTACGCATCTCGGTGATTGTTTGCTGGTTGATCAAAATCCTCGATAATTCGCTGGAGAAGAGTCGGAAATATACGTGGATACTTTTATGGATCCTGTTCGGAATCTTTGATGACGTTAAATTGCTTAGGTGTCTGGACCCTCTTCTGAACCGACTCTTCGAATTTATCGCGGTTGTCCGTTAGAGGACGATCAATTAGTCAATTTTACAGCTCTTGTACAGCAAGAAAACACGTAGATGGATGAGGTAGATTGCTACAGGACACGAAGGTGGACGGAAATCGTGTCTGGTTTTGTTAGATCGTAAGTGGCAAGTTTGATTCGCGTAGCCTCACGCTCCAGAAGATGTCTGGTTGGTATATAGTTCCGTTCAAGATCAAGATACCTTTATATATCGGCGAAAGAGTCGCGTCACGTGTACGTTACGGACGATAAATAATAGCGCGTATTCGTGTGCGGCGCTATTTTCTTCTTTATTGGCTCTGATTGGGGCTAATATTAGACCACCGTTGCATCAAGACCTGTACTCCATAAACGGATCTGATGGCTCCTTATTGACACTGTTCGTATGAATCGATAGAGGACACATGCACAATTGTGAGAGGGGCTTGGGGAGAGGTGATTGTGTGTTGATATTGCTGACACGATGAGACCAGTGTGCTCGGTTTTCGTTATGATTATTGAATAGATATGGCCGGGCGTGTCGTTATGCCGCCGCTTTGAAGACGTTATTAGACTGTCACGTTTCGCACGAGACGGCGATCAAGCACCCTTAGTGTCGCGCGCACTTTGAATCGGTCACGCGAAGTGATCTGAAAATCTTGATTCGTGTCAGTCGTTGGGCGAATTCACGATCGAGTGGAGATTAATTGGTAATTAATAATCTTTGATTATTTGTCATTTGGAAAGTAATACCGACTGTTTTTGTTTATTGTAAGAATTTACTGGTTCGCTATGATAGTATTGTTTCGAAAACGTTCGTCATAGATCACCCTCGATTTTTGTTATTTTATTCGGTGGAATGGTTTTACCTTCTTGAAAAATTTTTTGTCCTACGACTTTATAAATATCAGGTACAAAGGAAAGTGGCCTCAAAAGCAGGGCGACGGCGTTCGAGTTATCTGATAGGATATAGAAAAATTCTGTTACCTGGTGGGTGTTTGAAAACAGCTTCAAGAAGGTTGGTACACTAACGTCGACTGATTTTTCTCAGAAAAAAATGACCGTTTTTATAGGGCTCGCGATCGGAATTCCATCGGTTAATTAGTTTCTCCGGTCGTTCGCGAAGTTTTATTACCTTAAGTACCTGGCGGTACGCAGTGCTTGATTATCTCTAATGTCTCCTTCGTTCGTGTCAAAACCAATAACAACTAATTTGAAAATAGTCTTATCGTTCAGTACCGCGAGTGAAACCGAACGTGAAACATGTCTTTGAAATTTTATTTACAACGGAAACATAATCTGTGCAGTGAAGCGAAAGGTTGGAATTTTTGTTAAATATATTGCTTGCGTTTTTTAGATAAATCTTTTAAAAGAAGACGTGTACGTTTGATTATTTTTTTACGCGTCGAATCTAAGTGAAAAAAGTGTGTTATTTTAAGTAAATTTTGCTTTCTTTGTAGATATACCATTAAAACGAACTTAAGAATTTGAGATTAAAATTTCGTTTTTAATAGTGAAATTATTAATTAACTGTTAATTGCACTATGAGAAATAAGATTTCAAGATTTTGATACGCTTTTCAACGTTTTGTTTCATTTACTTATTAAATATTTTGCATTGCAAAGGACTGTTAGGGTGTCTAGTATATAAGATGATTATCTTAACAAATACGGTGGAGCAACAAGTGGACAAGTATCAATTCAGTTCATTTTATTTCTGAAACGGTGTTTATTATATAAGTGGACAAGAATGAGATTATTGTTATTTATTCATACTAAAATCTTTAACGTAGATTACATTCTTATTAATTTTGTTTAGATGTATAAAGGGATAGCGTGGTCTAAAAACATGAATCGAAAACTTAGGAGCATATTATTCATAACTATTTTCAAAAGCAACATCACGTGAGATGGTTTTAATATCTTTTATTAATAGAAAGAAAGTATAGTATGACTTCTTTTCAAAACAGAATATTACCTGATTCCTCACAGATTTTATTCACATAGGTTTTTTTATTTTACACTGCGTTCAGTAACTGGTGGTACAACTGGAAAGGGGGTGATTCTACAATACATAAAAAAAATGAATCGAAAATGTAGAATAAAATTTTTTCATACGAGGCTTTGTTTTTGAGAAAATCGATTTTGAAAATTAATCTAGAACGCGCGCATTCATGAAAGTAAGTAGAAGCGGCATGTAATGAACAGACGCGCCAGCCAAGTCCTATTCAATTGCACGCGTGACCAACAAATTTTCAAAGACGATTTTCTCGAAAACGACGTCTCAAATGAAAAAATTTTAATTTACATTTTCGATTTATTTTTTTATTTAGATTCACCCCCTTCCGGTTGTACCACCAGTTACGGACCAACCTGTATAGGGTATTTAAAAAATGATGGTACAATCCGAAAGCATATGATTCTACATATAAAAGTAAGTCGAAAATGTGGAATAACATCTTTTTATATAATGCTTTGTTTTAGAAAAAATTGAATTTGAACATATACTGGATACACGTGCCATCGTATAGGACGTGCCTGACGCGTCTGTTCATTGTATTCTAATTCTACACATTGTCACTGAGTACCTTAGAAACGAAGCATCGTACGAAAAAATGTTATTTTACATTATTGACTTATTTTTCCACGTAGAATCACATTCTTTCAGGTTGTACCATCATTTCGGAAACACTCTGTATGTATATCATTTTTAACAAGGTAACATTTTAAAAATAATATCACTATTTAATAATACCACGAATTATTTCTTATAATTGTTTTTTTAATAATTGCTATAACACAGATAAACAAAATACATGCTTAAATTTCCGATAAATTTGACATCGGAAATGTGACCAGAAATGGACACGCACAATCTTATCATCCTGTTACTTAACCAGTCATTCGAGAGACGTAGTAGTGGATACATAATACGCAAAATCGTCGAGCAATTTCTTAATTAAAGTTTTCCCGGGGTTACGCCGTCGCCATCGTTAATGAACGTTAAGATTTCGAAAGCTGCAATGCAATTCCTGTTAATTGATATATCGCCCGAGCGATTCCTCGATCTAAATGTCGGCAATTTTCCGCTTGACACCGTCAGTTAATGTTAGTTGAATCTAGTGGGGACACCCTTTATTTGACTAACCACCGACACGTGTGTCTATTAATTCGACCTTTCCGTATCTAACGAAAGGACAAACGCTTTGTATTAACTGGTTAGGTAATTAGCTGAGATTGCGCGGAAAACGCAGGAAAATCTGGAAAATTGGTAGACGGTTCATACAAGTACAAAATGGACTACTGTATTGAAAAAAAAGATTGAAAATATATTTGGAAAAATTGATGTAAAAGATTTGTGAACCACGTGTGTAGTTCATTCGTGTCTGACTAGTACTCGCTACTTCTACTTGTTAGAAATATTGTTGGTAACATAGTGTTATTTATTTTTCTTTATTTTTACTGCTTCTAACTATCAATTTGAATGAACGTACGATTGAGTATAGTTAATTATCGTACTGTCAATGGGTACAATAATTAAACCGAATAGAAATAATGAGGAACACACTGCACGTGTATAACTATAAAACCACCCTAAAATGTTCAATCCTTATGTATTGTGGTTAAAATATAAATAAACCACTTTTTTCTAGGGAATATAATATATTCTTTTCTGGAGTAACATTATTTTTCAACACGATTTCATACATGACATATTTGGTTCGGTTTTATTTTAATCACAATATATAAGCATTGAAAATTTTAGGACGGTTTTATAGTTATGTACACGCTATATCGTTCATTTGCATGAGTTATTAGTATAGACAACACGGTTGCTGTCTGTACTTTTTATCGGTTGATTCCTGTGAGTGAGCTTCCATAACTTACCACGTCAGGTCACTGTCTTTAATAAAATGTTCACATAAAATTATAGCGATGAAAACATTGAAGTTCGCATTCCCTGACATCGTGATTTGTGAGTTATTTCGTATATATGTAGTTTTATTCAACGAACTGAATTTTGAAAGTTAAATGCAGATTAAATTCAATAGCTATTTAAAGAGATGCTTGTTTATTTCGATGTTTTCTTACATGAGAATGCAAAACCAGAACAACTGGTTACGTAATAAATATTTAAGAAGATGTGTGTAATAATTAAAGGTAAATAAGATTTTCACCTAATCAGTTAAATGTTAAATCTGATGTAACGCGTTCAGCAAGCTAAATAAATTTCCGCGTGAATGCACATTCCATAAATTAGTCTACATATTACACGCTGAGTGTATCATGGCAGTCTTGTCAATAAAATTTCTATTTTCCGATAAGATAATTCGTCGCGGTGTAATGTGTAATGGAAATTTTCAAACTTTCGTGCACGTTGCGTTGAACGTGGTGCAAAATCAATCGATCGAGGCGATGGAAAAGAAGAAAAAATTAACGCCACGTTAACTTTATCGCGCGTTGTCAGAGCAATGGAAAAAATGAAACGCGACGAAACGTTTTATCCGGTCTATTTTCTCGTGGAAATGTCTTGTAACGGCGATAAACAAAAGGAAAATAAACTGCGGATAACGTGCCCGACGGTTATCCCCTTAAACAATTAATTGAATCGCGCGTGGAGCTACGATAACTTCAACTAAATATAGGTATGCTCGTGTTTAACTGTGCAATTTCTCCGACTTCTCATATTAAACGCATTTATTAACACCGACGATATTCGAATCAATAATTTGTCACGGAATTTCAAGTGTTTCTTGGACTATGAATGATTCCGATGATATTCCGTATCGAAGGAATGAAGAAATTTAACACCTTTAAAACGTTAATATTAAATGTGGAATATGAAAAATGAAAAGAATTTTGAAATATTTTTAAATATTCAAATTGGATCATCCAATAGTTTTATCCTGTTGTATATTTCATATGTACTTTGTAAGTACAAAAGTTCTTTCAGTATAATAATTCATTATATTTGTTTATTCCAGTTATAGGAAACTTTTATTTTATTTTTAAGCCTTTAATTTTATAGAACTTAAATTTAAAGTATATCGTATACAATGAAAACTTTTCATATAATTTTGCCTATGCAATAAATATTGGTCGATCAGATGCAACGAACAAATAGGGAAAATAGAAAATGCATGACAATTTTCACGCAAAATATATTTTAATCATACCTTATT